GAGAGAGAAATGAAGTCAGCCTTAGGAACAGCTGACTGGCAGTTCCAAAGGCCACCTGTAACTAGATGTTGGATCTCAGTGGAGCATGTGGGATAGACGAGAGCAGGAGATGCACGGGGCCAGTAATAATTGCGAAGGGACACATATATTGATGCATTAATGTATTTTTTGCAGGTAGTAAAGTGGAGCTAATTTAACTACTTTATGCATTGCTGGGTAGATTGTGATTTTACTTCAGGTATAACTAAATCTAATGTACAGATAAAGCACCCTACCGATGTGGGGCCGTGATCGGCACAGGGTGGGCCCTCGCTGAAAGGAAAACCCCCCGCATGACTTGATACGCCCCCTTGATAAATTATAATGAAACCAGCTGCAATGGATCATGGATCCACCAGGAGGAGCAGTGATTAAAAAGCTGCCACACTGGAACTCATGTGAAATAAACAGCTGATAGGTATATCTGATATAGCGGATCTTCACGGATAAGAGACATGTAATAATTTACAAAACATCACCTTGTTTTTATATAACAAAATAATGTTGTTTAATCCACTTTGGCGTACTACAACTACACAAATAATCGGTTTGTTTTTTCATCAGGAAATGCAGCCCAGCTCAAACAAATGATTTTAAATCATCATCCTCACGATCATTTAATGTATCATATGTTCGCCGAATTGACATGAAAGCATTAACAAATATGAATTTGTTGTAGTCAACTTCATTAAAACTTTATTAACGTGCCTAAACTCAGTAATTCACTAAAAATAGGTTTATTTTTAATGGAGCCTCGTCGTTTCACAACAAGTGGGATTTATCTTGTATTACTATATTGTAGCATATCGTTTTTGATTCCCACTTTCACGGATATAATCATATTCTGCATTGAATAAGATACATTTAATCATTTAAAAAAAATCGTATTTCGTTTCTATTAACGAAATATATGTGGTTTAATCCACGTGAGTTTACAACTACAAAAATAATCGGTTTGTTTTTGTATCACATCCGACGGGAGGAAATGCAGCCCGGCTCTCACTACCGATTTGTAATCATAATTGAATCATCATCTTCACGATCATTTAATGTAGTAGACTATCATATGTTCGCCAAATTTACATGAAAGCACCAACAAATATGAATATGCTGTAGTCAACTTCATTAAAACTTTATTAACGTGCCTAAACTCAGTAATTCACTAAAAATAGGTTTATTTTTTAATGGAGCCTCGTTATCTCACCACGGGCAAACAATCATATTTACAGTGTTAATAGTTTACTGTATTATTAGTGTTTAATATTACTGCTATAACAATCACACATTGAGTTCATTGTTGTGCAATGATAAAATCAGACCGTTGTTTTTTTAAATAGTCTGAATGAAACTCGGCAGCTCTCAGGTGATCAGCTGATCAGCTGTGTGTGACTCTCTTTGTTTACACAACTAATGGCCCATCAGCCACAGCAGTAAAGTTGAACTGTAGGTTTGGGTTTGCATATTTATGCAGTGATCTATCTCTTCCTCTCTGCCGCAGAGCAGACAGCTGAGCGCTGTCACAGCGGACCATGGCTGTAAAGGAAGAGGGGTGTCTAGTGATTGGCTTAGAGCTTTCGCGACTGCAAACATTTTTAAACAAACAAACATTGACACACATATTTATTTAGATATGTTTTAAACAAGTTTAAATAAAAGGCTGGAGTGTTTCTTGCTCTGCCAGGTACAACAAGTGGGATTTATCTTGTATTACTATATTGTAGCATATCGTTTTTGATTCCCACTTTCACGGATATAATCATATTCTGCATTGAATAAGATACATTTAATCATTTAAAAAAAATCATATTTTGTTTCTTTTTAACGAAATAAATGTGGTTTAATCCACGTGAGTTTACAACTACAAAAATAATCGGTTTGTTTTTGTATCACATCCGACGGAAGGAAATGCAGCCCGGCTCTCACTACTGATATTTAATCATAATTGAATCATCATCTTCACGATTATTATAAGTTTCACTTTCCTTTTTATTTAAATTCCAACCTTGGTAACGAAGAATATGTTTCTCTGTTGTCCACGTTTATAAAGCATAAAACAACACCACCAGAGCACGGTGCAAAGTATCTAGATAGAATACGGCGCTGGGTTTACAGTAGTTGTTGTTTTTATTATACATCAATGTAGTCCACTGTATAGAAAACTGTAGTTTCCCCACAGCAGCGGACGCACATTCATGACGTTCGCTGGCGCATCATAAATACGTTGATAGTGTAAGTGCAGTCGGATTCTCAAAGCACTGCAGTCTCTTCTCCTAAAGCCTTTTGAATTCTCCTATCCACTATTAATTAACCCTGAAAGGGTCTGTCGGCCATCATCGGTGTGACAAAGCTCTACCATCCCCCCTCTGTTAACAAGAGATAGTATGTTGCGGACTCTCTTTTGGCGCATTTCCACCATGGCGCGGAGCGCGGTTTAAGTGTGATGTGTCGTGCCGTGCCCGTTTTTGGTTGCGCTTCCACTAGGCCTAGTTACGGCCCGGCCCGGCCCGGGGCCACTTTTTCACCTCTTTTCTGGCCCGACAAAATTGTGGTTCTATCGGGGCCAACAAACAGGGCTGAGTCGGGCTGAGTATGCTAAACTAGAGAGAGAATCGCTGGCAAGGAGGCTACAACTACAACAAGATGAACATATTTGACCGTGATTTAATTGTAATACACGTTTCAAAATGATGCCGAAGTAACAACATACTGATACCGGTTAGTAAAAACCATGAATTAATGCTTTGGCAAGTTTGCAGACAGACGGCAGGTGAAAAACCTTTTAAAATGCGTGTTTTCTAGATGGAGATTGGCTAAGCTAACTCAATATATGTTCCGACCGTCCACACTCACAACAACGGCCTATACAGACATAAATAAAGCAGCGACTGTACTCGCCATGACACAGGCAGTCTGTGGTTTGTACTTGTTTAACTTTTGTCGAGTTTCTGAACATATATAAGGAGCTGTGAGCTCTGAGTGCTAACAGCTAACGGCTGTGTTGTTTTTCTGGGGTTCTCATTGAAGATGACGTCACGGCTCCGCCTACACTGCGTTACTATAGTAACTACCCCAGTTCCTAAACTGTAATGGAAGCGCAGCATGAAGTGAGCCGGCCCTGTTAAGGCCCAACGCGGCCAAGCAGTACCGAGCGTGGCCGAGGCCGACCGTGTGGTGGAAATGCGCCATTTGTTTCAAATAATTGCCCATCGGAATGTGTCAAAAGTCTCCCATGGGGGATGGGAGACTTTTGTCACATTCCGATGGGCAATCGGAATTACATGCAGGGCAGCATTGCCGGTCTGAAAGTGTCTCTGGAAATATCAAACATTTAATTAAAGTTTTAAAAACAGTGACAAGTTAAAATCAGAGGTGGAAGAAGTATTCCGATTATTTACCTAGGTAAAAATACGTGTTAGAAGCAAATGTCCTGCATTCAAAATTGTCAATTGCCCAAGTGAAAAGTATTATCATCTGAAAGTAAAATGAATCATTATGTTATTAGTATTAAATACATATAAGTATTTGTACAACTTATATTTAGAAATACTCCGTTGTAATTATTGATGCATAAATGTGTTCATCCATTCAATGTGGCATCTGCTATAATGGGGTTAATGTATGATATTACTTAATAAGTAATAAATAAACACATTACTGTATAATACGTGATAATGTATGAGTTGATTTACTTCGATCTACTGTACTGTGTACACCACAACAATATTACAAAAAAAATACTGCATATTAAAGCAAACTATTGTAAAGGTAAAAGTATGAGCATAAAAAATAAAGAAGTGTAAACATTTACATTATTATGATTATTTAATATATAAAGACTATATATTATTGAATTACAATTAAGATAATAAGATTAGATATACTTTATTTGATCTAAAATATTGATGTTTTTTCATTATAGTAGCCTGTGAAAACCATAACAAATAAGGGATTAAATGCTACAGTATTCAGCTAACACAACTGCAGAGCTGCAAACATTGCAAACAAACTATGGTCTCCAACACCCAGTTGTCTTTGTGTATTTGTGAATGAAGCGCCATCTCATGGTTAAATCCTGAAATTGAACAAATGGGGAAATTTGGCAACGCCCTCTTAGGAAATAGTGGGAGGGCTTGAATCTCCCAGCCACTGGGATCCGCTGGGTTTTTGGTTGGAATCCGCTGGGTGGAGTCCTATCTGGAGTGCTACATCTGTATAGGTTGATTATATTTTATATCAATAATCTGAATCTGCAAGGAAACTAGTAACAAAAGATATTACATTTATGTAGTGTGGTAAATAGTACACTATTTCCCTCTGAATTGTAGTTGAGTAGAATAGAGTGGTGCAGTGATTACGTATTTTTATATGCCGACCCGGAAGTTTCAATGGATAGCAAAATAAGATCTGTGATTTAAAAAAAGCAAGTGTTTATGATAATTGACACGTTTTATTCATCAGGATAGTCTCCACAAAAACATTAAGGCTATAAAAGTCGTCTCATTTCGTCACTTTTTAGCAACCTCTGATTTTATGACACATAGAATCTTCGGAAATTGACCAGTGGGGTATCTACTGATGTATTTTAACATGTAGCGAAACACTCTTAGACTTACGTAAACAACAGACCTTATTTGAGACATCTAACCAAAAACACGTTTAAAAAACAAACATTTACTTTGACACGAGGGAACAAGAAATGCAACTAATTTCCGGGTTTTAGGACTCATTCCTGCAACACTTTATTATTACTTAAGTAAAATACTTAAATAAGTGCTCAATTACATTCTACGACTGATTTTAACTTGCATGGATCTAAACAAACCTTTCTTTAACGGACACCTTAATAAGTAGAAAACATATTTTTTATGATAGTTCCCCTTTCCTGTTGTCTAAGATAGACATCCTGAAAAAAGCATCAAGTTAACCTTTTTTTTTCTTGTCTTCCCCTTTCCTTTCTCTAGGCTCAGTACCTGCCTCAGTTACCCAACAGCAACATCTCACCAGCTCCAGATGTTAAGAAACAGGTGAAGCATAAATATCACCTGCCCAACATTTAACAAAGCAACACGTGTGGGCTGAGCTGAAAAAAGGCTGACTCATGCTAAGCTTTGTGCGATCATTTGAATACAGTAAAATATATTGTTGTTGTTGTGACAGTGAAAATGTGTATTTTGAGTCTGTGATCACGTCGCATTTTTGGCATTATCACTTGATATTATTTACTCGACAAACAATTGTTAGGTCATTTACAGATGCAGGTGCAACACAGTCTCACTCCCTGATAGTCCAATAGTGACGCTATGTTGAAACCAAGTGCTTCAACATAGTTAACATTGCAGGAAAGTTGATTGTCAAGTCCCAAAACAAACCATGCAATATATTAGACTTTAAGTACTTTGTCAGGCTTAATATTTATCTCTAGATACCCCCAAAGCTTTTTGCTTATATGTATTTAAAAGAAGACCTTAAAGGTGGGGTAGGTAATTTTGGAGAAACCAGCTCGAGTGCGCTAGAATTTGAAAATACACAGCCGGAAAAAATCTGCCACTTTCTTACAGAGCCCCTCCTCCAACACACACGAACGCGCACATGACCAATGAGGGCACGAGATAAGTTTGTGCACAGATGGAAGGCTGACAGGCAGGTAGGCCATCCAGTTATTTTAGCCGGGCCGGCTCAAATGATTGGTCGTGCTTTTTACAGTACTACGGCTTCCACAGATGAAATTCTTTTATGGATTTTTTGTCAAAGCACTTAAGATATTCATTGCTATCGGGATGTTAAGAGTATTCCATGGAATATAACAAAAAGTGTATCTCGAGCCGGTTTCTTTAGTTTACGACGGATATATTTTGTTATCCACAGACGACCACACATATATTGTTTTGATATTTGTAACACAAAAGCGATGGGAAAAACCCACAGCAACACAGAAAAGATGGTCTTAACATGACCCAGCAGCTGTCTAGTTAATACAAAAATATTACTATTAACTTTATTGTGAAATTAAAACAGAACGGTAAAAGAATAGTTTCCGGTCTATTCTGAGGCCCAATCTCTGTAGATAAATAAATAATTAAGCCAGATGTGTAATATTTAATGCAGCCAAACCATTTATTACAATGCATTTATGTGATGACTTTCAAAGAGTAAAGCAAGCACTAGCTGAATAAAGTATGATTTTACCTTTTACGAAACGTTTTTTTCATATGGAATACAGTCGGAGGTCAACCAATCACAGAGCTTGAGGACTAATCACGGGGTTTGTCGAGCAAAGCGCATGGTGTAGTCTCAAACGATAGCTGAGGATTCTGGGTAGTGTCTTCTGCCATCCTAAACTCCGATACAAGTATTTGTTTCTCAGAGTCGAAGGGGAAAATCACAAAACCTTTGTAGGCAATTTAAACCAATCAATGTTGTGTAATTAACAAGGATAATCTGGTGTTTTTGAGTTGATGAGTAGTGCAGATATCACTGTAAAATCAATCGACAGTAAGGAGAATACTTATTTCCGGGTGTAAAATTCTCCGTTATCCAATGGGAATGGATGCTCACATTGCCTTTAACTGCCGCCGACATGGACCGATGCGGTGCTTCCCTGAGCGTCAAATACCGCCGCCGATCGGAATACATTGCAATCAGTTGAAAGCTCTTTGCGTCCGTTTATGAAGCTGAAGGAGACTCTGTGCGTCACAACTGCACGCCAAAGGACCCTGACCAAGCGTCGCTATTGGACTTTCAGGGAGTGAGACTGTGTTGGCAGGTTATGCAACACACTTACAGTGCTGTTAGCAAAGCATACAGCAAGTGTAGGTGCACACATACTGCACTCTTCATCTCTATGAAATGTATTAAATAGCTCATTAAAGTCAGCAGTGTGCCATCATCACTTGGACTAAAGTACTTTTCTTCTTATTTCTTTGTACTAGTTTTATAGTTTTCTGTTGCAGTTAATGACACAAACTACAAAATATGTACACATTAGAAATAAAGGGGCACTATTCTGCTTATTTTCAGGTTCATATTTGTATTTAGTGCCTCTACTGGTACATGTCTCCATGCTTTAATGATCAAAAAGCTCTTTATTTTTCTCATACTGCCTGTGCTGCAGCACCTCTTTTCACCCTCTGTCTGAAACCAGAGCCCAGTCTGCTCTGATTGGTTAGCTGGACAGCTCTGTTGTGATTGACCAACCGCCTAAAGATGTCCCGCCCCTTAGCCTATCAAGTACAATGTGTTAAAGGGCTAGTCTTACCCAGTGATGTCACCATGTTACGGAAGTTAACACATGACTACAAACTGAGGCGTTTCAGGCAGGGGGGGGGAGTGTGTGGGAGAGAAACTCCCTCTGGAGGGAACACAGGGAGTGTTGCCTTTGCAGACCATTTACATGCACACAAACCTATGTAACACTACAGGAAAGAGAAAACCCCAAAAAGCACAATAGGGCCCCTTTAATATATTTAACAAGATGTTCCTGTCCAATTAATCACAATTTTACAATAAGAGTAATACTACAGTAATACAGTAACCATGTAGTGCTCTATACTTGACTCTTAAGTAGTGTGACGGGTTGCAGTCTGTAATAACACAGCCTGTCTTTGACAATAATCCTCAAAATGTGTCACAATATGACTGATGACATTTTGACAAAACATTTATTTACTTTGTTCATCAATAAAAAAAACATTGTACAATTCTTGTTGTTTTTATCATGTGATCCATGCATTTGACTTATTATTATTGTAGAAAATCACTCTGCTAAAGTGCATATAATTGAGGAAACAAAACATTTATCAAAAATGACCTTATACACCCCTAAAACCAATACAATAAAAACAGGAAGATTGATTCAAACTGTTATTCAAGCGCCCTCTGGTGGCGTATACACGCAGCTACGTGTGCTGAACCCTGCCCAAACATTTACTAATATGCAAACTGTAGCAAGAGAGTAAATAGAGAGTAGGGATGGGTATCGTTTTAAATGTATCGATTCCGATTCCGGTTCTGCTTATCGATTCCGGTTCTTATCGATTCCCCGTTTCGATTCCAAAATTATGAAAGAAAGAGGTCAAACGTTTAGATAACTAAAATATCTTTATTCTTTTAAGCTTTAACTGACATTTTTACAAATAAAAAATATACATGCAATACAAATGTATTGCACAATAGCTGTGCTTTATTTTAACTGAGCTATGCCTATGGCAAGCTATTAACAGGCATTACACTGTGCCTTGTCTTTTTCTTTTTTAGTGTAGTGGAGCCTCACTTTAGAGCGTTTACCGCGATCCATCTTTGGTGTTATGAAGTGACCGAGCTCGTGAACTGTCTACGGGAGGGCGGGGGGAGCCTCGCTGCGGGGCCAACCCGGTATCACGGCAAGACGTGAACATGTGACGATTTACCATGCTGGGAGACGTGAAGATGTCACGATTTCGTCCCTTCAAACGTGACAGTTACACAGTATTGTTAACATGGCCCAACCAGTAGAGAAATACCCGGAAATGCCAAGCAAATGCTCTACCATGACGGTCGGTTGTTATTGTCAATATTAATATAATAATGATTTATTTTGTAATAGTCACACTCGATTTCGCCGATTTTCTTGTTGCCCCAGCTGGTCGACACCTCTTTTAGCAGAAACAATGCTACATTAATGTATTAAATCGATGTTAATCCATGTGTGTGGAATTAACAGACGTGGCGTTGTGCGATTGCGTTGCCAGGCAACAGTTTGGGTTCATGTTAATTTACAAACTCTTCAACTAGAACCGTAGTTATATTTAAAAACATTTTAGAAGGCCTCACAAAATACTTTAATGTAAATTAAAATGTAAATGTGAACGAATGTGTGTATAACAAAATACATCTGTCATAAACAGTACCGGAAACAGACGTAGGCAAGATCCTCAGCTCGGTGATTGGATGGTTTAGCCGCAATGCACGCTGGGATATGGTGTTTTATGCGATGTGAAATTTAAAAAAATAAAATAATACTTTATTCCGAGTGTGCTTGCTTTTCTCTTTGAAAGTCATCACATAACGGCATTGTAATACACGGTTCGGCTGCATTACATATTACATATCTGCCGTAGTTAACTCTATGTATAGAGCCCTGATGACAAGACTTCTAGACAAACAGGAAGAACTGCCGACAAAACTGAAAACGTGACGTGGATCATAAATATATCAGCAATTAAACAACATCTTACATTTCTTTTCACACAATACGTCTCCTTGCAGTATCAACACTAATTCGGCAGACTTTTACATTTGATCCAATTGGTAGATAGGCTGTATTTACACCATAACGGTGCACAGCTGATAGAAAGGGACACCTAGTGGTTAAAGCACATTATTGAATTTTATTATTTTTATTATTAGATATTAATAGGAGGACAAACTAATAAGGCTTTATTTAAACATTAAATAATACTTTAGGTTAAGGTCTTCTTTTGTATCTACAGATAAATATTAAGCCTGACAAAGTACTTAACGTCTAATATATTGCTTTCCTGCCATGTTAACTATGTTCAAGCACTTATTTAGTGGGAATTGTTAGAGCAGAACACCTCTGCTACGCGCCGTTCGTTGGATGAGGCTGGATCTCTATTAAATTAAGAAAGGAATTGAAAACACCGGAATCAAAGTTATAACAAATTATCTGAGTTTACTTCTAGTAGGAAACCAAACACATATACAAGTTATACAGAGTACTCCGGACTTCAGGTTCGTGATGCGATGCGGATAAAGGTGTCAGGACCAAACCAACTCATCAAACGAGATGAAAGTGACTTCAGGTTTGTGATGCGATGCGGACACAGATATCAGGACCAACCAACTCACCAAACCAGAAGCATTTTTACACTCAAAAACATCAGTATTCATATCTATTTTTGGGGCGGAGATCAGTCGACTCTTCCTTCCCATTTTCCTCCCACGCGAATCAGAGAGTCCGTGAGGAGGAGCTGTGTAAGCTGATCACCTCCCCCAAGTGTCCTGACTGGCTGGATTCGCTTCTGGCCGGGTTCAATCAGAGGTCTGACCAGCACGTGAGATCCTAAGTTACACCAGGTCAAAAGTCAACGTTTATCTCCACCCTATCTACTCTACATTCCCTTCCCCTGGGTTCTTCACATAAACCATCCCTTTTCAGACATTTAAACTTTTCTTCACCTATTTAACGATGTCTTTAACGACTTAAAAACAACATCTGGCTTTTAGGGGTGATACAGGCAAGTTGGTGTGTGTTGTGAAAACAGAATCTCTGGATCAGTGAGTTTGAAAGTAAGAATATCAGTTCTATATATATGATTACCCATAACCGTTGTGATTACATAAAACAGTTCAAACAATACATGTTCACTAAAATACAATTCAAAATAATACATGTTTACTTCA